AACAGATTTGAGAGTATTTTTGTTAATAATTTGAAACACTACAACCGGATACGGTTTTGCTTGACAAATACTTGATGTACAACACCACAAGATTGTTGAATTGTTGTTAATCAAAAGCGTACTCCAGTGGTTAGCTTTAAAAATTAAATTAGAGTTAGTAATCGGTATTGCCAACAGATTCAGTCATTGTAATACCTATTACGTCAATTTTAGGGAAAAAGTTTTTTAGATCACAAATCTAGTAACAGTCGCCTGTTACAAATAAACAATTATAAAACAAAGTTCTCAACTAATCTCAGACATGCCGTTATTTGGGCCAGCTTATTTTTTAATTGAAAGTATTTTAATTTGCCCCTGATAAAAAACAGTAAACCTTGATATCATTATCAATTTGAGTACACGTCTACTTTATCTAAACCTTTGTAACCATCGCGTAATAATCCTTTCTGGGAAAAACACACACCTGCTTGAAGGGCCCCTTCTTGTCCCTGTAGTGCACAATCGCCGCTGCAATTTCCTGCGTAATCCCATGCACACACTGCAGTTCGAAAACACTCGCTTTATTCACATTCACAAGTTTATTACTCTTAACCGTGAGCCTCGAATCGACGCTCCTAAGGCTATCGTAACTCTGAGCTCTCGATGAGGCACAGCTCAAATTCCTCCGACTCGAGACACAGATTTCCGGTCTTAGAACCTCGAGTTTGTCGGCTCCGATACCTCGGACGAGGGCCAGGTCCTCCACCTTCCGGAACCGGCCAATGGCCTTCCGGTGGTCTACTATACTCCGGGCAGTCTCCCGACTTACCCCCGGGAGCGTCATGAGCTCCTCCTCGCTTGCTTGATTGATGTTAAGGAGTTCCATCTTGTCGTGGTTGTCGTTGAGAGTGAAAGTGTGGCTCAGGTTCGAGTTGTTGTGGGACTTACGCGGAAACGACCGCAGAGATTTTCGGCGCCCGGGCTTGGGGAGACTCGCATTCTGGCCCATACTTGCCGAGAAGTGGACCATGGGGGCTGTCGGAGACTATCACATCAAGCAGAGGTGGCGGTCGAAAGCGCTCAACTGTTTGTCAATCGATGGCAACTTGATGGTCTTCGTGTAATTGGTTTGACCTCTGAATTCCGATTGGTACACGACGATTTTACTATGAAGCTCACGTATGACACTATTAAATTATAATTAGAACGATTTCTAGCATGACCTAACGCTAGCTGATTATAAACTCAACTGCCGTGTTTATGTTTTTCTGACAGATTTTTGACAGGTGGGAAACGTGCGTCGTGAATTGAACAGTCTCCTCAAGGCCACACAAAATTTTACAATAAATTTATCAACAGTTTGCTGATTCCTATGTAAAATTTATTCTAACTTATCGTTACTTTAAAGCCCCTTTGTCTAGAAAAAAACACTTCATAATTTTTAGTCCTATAATTTTCATTTACAGCTGTTATTTATCATTAATACGTCACGTTATATAAACCCATTTAACATGTTTAAAAAATGAATATGAAAAAAGACCATGCAAGAGGTAATAAATAGTGTTAAAATTTTAAATTGTGCCTAAATTATACAACACATGTGCCTCAAAAGCCAATAAATCGATTCACAATCACAGACTTACGTCCTGTGTTTGTATCCTCCGTCAGCGCAAGCGTCCTTTTTAAATTTGTGTTTACATCTAACCTGAAAAAACTGTTTTGATGCCTTTTTTACGAAAAATCAGCCAAAATAGGCCTCAGAACGAACTATGTACAAGGGAGATTGCAAGTGGCATCATGATTACGTACGTCTAGCTTTTGACACCGGGTTTAAATTTGAAAGACACAAGTCGGACGATTCTGACAGAAATAAAATAAGTGAGTGATTTATTTATATTTGTTTGCAATTATTAATGCTTTTTTTGAAGGTTTAATTGATGTTGATCGAGTAATCGAAGAGAGAGACTTTGCAACTGTAGAGAAACTCATTCCAGGAATTACAAAATTTATTCTAGACCCTGACCAGGCCCAGATTTTAGACGTTAGTTTTGTAAAAACGTTTAAATTGAGTCAACTTGCGATTCAGTATTTATTATTTTGTAAAAAATATCTCGATAATACTGTGATTCTGTTGAAAGATGAAGTAAAGAAAATTCGAGAGGTAGGCAACCAGTAATATATTCTAGTTCCAACATTCAAATTCTAGGAAAATAAAGAATTAAACCTATTTGTTGACGACCTCAAAGACCATATTTCAACTTTGATGCGTGAGATTGACGAAAAAGTCGCTTTTAAATGCGAGCAGTGCAATAAAGTTTTCTCAAGTGAAGAGTTTTTAAATTCGCACATTAAGCGCCGCCACAGTGTCCCCATACAGGATCCAGAAACAGATAAACTTCAGATGGAAATCAAAGAATTGAAAGGAAGACTCAACGATGCAGAAAAAAAGATACATAAGGAGCACCATGAAACTGATTCGAATATCAGTAGGGAATCAGAGTTTAAGAAGATCGAAGATTTGCAGCAAAAGTTTGAAGATTTACGACTGCAAGTCCAGTCTGAATTGAAGATTTTGCAGACGCAACATAACTTTCAGGAGAAATATGAAAAGTGGTTTGAGAGAATGGCGTTTCAAGGGGGCAGTTTAGGGCGAAGAAGGGAGAGTATGACGCAGACTGATTTGGGGGTGGAGGAGGGGACGTCAAATCGTGTTGTTATTTATGAGGAGAAAAACAAAGAAAATGTGCCGGAGTTGACTAACGCTCAGAAACAGATTACGCAATTTGAAGCGGTTCTGGAAACTAAAGTGGGTACTGTTTTAAATAAGGGGGATATATAGTTTTTGATGGTTGTAGATGACGTCTAGTTTGCAAAAAATTGAAGATCAGATGCAGTCATTTTGGAATAAGTTGAGTGAAATGGAGATGTACAGAAGTACAGTTGTGGAAGAAAATCCTAAACCTTCAATCAAGCCTAGAAGCAAATATTTTGTTAAAAAATTAGATGAAACGAGGCATAGAAACGATTCTAGTCAGCAACGTGATAAAAAACATGCCAAAAATGTTCCTCTTGAAGAAGCAAAAGAAGAAGAAATAACCGATTCTAGTCCACAATGTGATATATCGAGAAATCAAGAAATATCAAAAGTTCCTTCAATCAAGGTTATGAAAGCTCAACCCCAAATAAAGGTTTCTAAAATCAAAACGGAAAAAATTGAATCTGGGATTAATTTAACTGAAATTGATGATGATACCACAACCTCTGAAACACTTGCTTCTGAAGAAAAAATCTCAGAATCACCTAAAGAAAAAGTATTTAAACCGCCTTTAAAGCCTCCGCCTGTTCCTAGAAAGCGGCCGAAAACAAGGTTTTTGTCATAATTGTGCAGTTTTTCGTTTTTTATTCCTTTTATTTTAGTAAAGAAGATGTTTCTGGTTATGTAATAGACGACGAACTATTACAACACTTTAAATTAGAAATTGAAAATATTATAAAAACACGTTTGCAAGACTTGGGCGTTTCACCTGACTGGAACGGCCTTCCTAATCGTTCCTATCAGAGAGCACTAGAAATTATAAATCATCAAGCAAACTTGGTGAAAAAAGTATGTTTTGTAATTACATTAATCAGAAATTAAATTAATGTTTTAGACGTACTCAAATTTTGATTCAATTGCATCAAAAATTGAAAAAGATGTGGCGAGACAAATCGATGCAAAACACCAACCAAAGAAATTCGTCAAAGCGAAACCGAAAAAAACAAAAGTCTCGGCTCAGATTGAGATCAAAAATCGGCAAATGTACGATACTGACTCTGAAAGTGAGATAAAGCCAATTAAAGTCAACGAGAAACAATTCTCAGCGCCTTATTCGGCTGTGATAGCGGAACTGAAAACTGTAACGTCCAAAATTGACGCTTCCGATAAATCTGATTCGTCAATAAAGGAAGAGAAACGGGTCAAGGAAGACCACACTAAGGGGGTTTTAAAGAGTTACCCTTCAGTGGGGTCCCTCACAAAGAAAAAAGTTTTGTTTAATTTGGACACTGAAGAGAAGAAAGAATTACCCTCGAAAGACGGCGGAAGCACTACAAGTATCACAAGCTCGGTGTTTGACGCCACACCCCGGAATGACGAGACCAAGAAAAGAAACAAAGATATTGAAGATTTATCAGACTTTGATTTTAGCGATATGTAGAGTTAAGTTGTTTTGTAGCGCATTCTTCTGAATAAAGTTACCTCAAAGTATCTGCTTTTATGTCGGCAACCCAGAATACTCTTTAGAAAACGTGCTATTATTATTTTTGTTTGTTTTGACTTATCATTTTGTGATAAATTCGTGAAAATGTTAGCTCTCTGTAAAAGATTAATTTCTAATAATTTAATTCGAATTAAGTTAAATCGGGGACTATCTGATTTTAATAATTTAATTATAAGTGATGAGGTTAAGTCTGCTTTAAATGAAGATAAGCCTGTGGTGGCTTTAGAATCGACAATCATCACACATGGAATGCCGTTTCCGCAGAACGTAAAGTGCGCTTTAGAGGTGGAAGCAGTCGTAAGAAACCAGGTAAAGTTACGTTACGTTTACGACAAAAAACAATAGGATCACAATACGTAAGAAGGGGATTAATTACGTAGCCACGCCTCTTTGTGTCAAACTTATCACTGTTATTGGTAAACAGACTGTCCATTATTGGCATTGTGTAATTTGATTGGTAAATAAAAAATGACAACTGTGTCAAGTGTAGCCATGCCCACATTTTTTCCAGAAAAGCTCAACTTTATTCGCACTTTCGCTTATTATCCTGAATAAAGATCGGTAAATCCGAAGTAAACCACCGATCACTAATTAAACTAGGCTTAATACCATTAAAACAAAGGTTTCAGTTTTAATTACACAGATTCACTGGAACATGAAATTATTAAATTCATTCAGCAGCATCCTTGCATACAATTTAGCTTCCTATTACGCATCTCCTCGCCTAATAAATAATTAATTATTTTGCGATAAATTCACAATAAGGGACATCCACGTGGCGTAATTCACGTCCTTGACACCAGACGTTTTTAATTAAATATTTCGCAGTTAGATTGAAAATAATTTCATTTATTAGGGTGGCATTCCTGCAACTGTGGCAATTACCAATGGTCACATTAGAGTGGGACTTACCGCAGATGAAATTACAAGACTTGGTGACATCACAATTAGTCAACCAATCAAAACATCTCGACGCGACTTGTGTTATGTTGTCAGCACTGGCCGGAATGGGGGAACCACGGTATCGGGGACTTTACTCGTGGCTAGTAAAATTGGAATTCCGATTTTTGCAACTGGGGGTATTTACTATTTTAACTAGTGATATTTTTAACCAAAAGTAGGTATTGGGGGGGTTCACAGAGGCGGCGAGAGGACATTCGACGTTTCAGCGGATTTAACCGAACTTGGTCGAAGTGGAGTCGCAGTCATTTCGAGTGGAGTCAAATCTATTCTTGACATTCCCAAAACACTGGAATATCTCGTAATTGCAAATTTCCAAACTTGAAACCGTCTGATAACAAGTTTCAGGAAACCCAAGGGGTGTTTGTTGCGACATTCGGGGGCGGAAAGGATTTCCCTGCTTTCTACAGCAGGAAAAGTGGTTGTTATGCCCCTTATTCGGTGGAAACTGTGCAAGACGCTGCAGAGATAATTTATAGAAACCGCGGTTTAGATTTACAGTCGGGGATGCTTTTTGCGGTACCTGTTCCAGAAAAATTCGCCCTCGATGAAAATGTTGTAAATGATGTTATAGAAGAGGCCTTAAAAGATGCTACAAAGAGAGGGATTGAAGGGAAAGAGATAACTCCGTTTTTGTTAGGGAGGATCGGGGAAATCACCGACGGAAAGTCGCTGAAAACAAGTATCCTTTGATAATTGGCGGAAATGCCAAATTGAGCCAGGGTGGCAATGGCAACACTGGTGGCAGGGGTTTTAATGTCATTTAATTTAAAAAATAGAAAGTCAAACAGATAATTGTAATGCCGAAATTTTTATACGTGTAGTTTTCTATTCTATTCTGAAGTGGACATTACGGTTTTTGCATTTTTGTGCAAGGGTGAAATTGGCAATACTTCATGCATGAAATCAAACATAGGTGGCTGAAATTTATATTGTCCAAGTGAATGTTAAACCAGTTTTAATTAAAATATTATAAAGAGAGTAATGTAAGCGTCAATTAAAACTGCTACTTATTGTTTACGGAATGCTTTTTTGCTGTTAAGGGTTTTATATTTTTATTCCTGTGAAAGATGAGTTTGCACTCTTTAAATAAAAATTAGACGCAGGCGACTTTGTGTCTGTCATTTCAGTTTCATTGAAAATTGTGGTGAATTTCAAGTTTTCGTGTTAATAACGTCGTAAAATTTGTGGGGATAATAATCCCCAGGCTTTCGGCTTGTTGTTTTTAATGACAGCCTCTCGCTAGCCTTGTCAATAAAATGTCAAATTTGGTTGCGAGTGTTGAAATTTTGCCTTAACTTTGTCAGATATTGCCCTAATTAAAAATAATGCAAAAACTGCCTCGCTCATCGCCGTCGAACTTTCCAAGCTGAAGAAGAGGACGCCCAATTCGTCCTTCCGGAGCAAGAAGGACACAAGAAAGGACTCGACTCCAGTGAGTATATTTAATAATTTTCGTAGCGTCTCAAGGCCCCTATATAACCCGTGCAAAATATCTATCCGTGATCCGAATAAATAAAATAAAACGAAAGTGTGTCAGTGGGGATGAGACAATGTAGTGTAAAATCGTGGGGTTATTTTCACTGGGGATCAAAGTCGGTTATTTATGGAGTGCATCAACTGACCTTTGTCGGTCAATATTAACCGAGTGGAAAGGTCAAAAAAGATTGCAATTTTTATTAGTGTTCACTCTTTATTTTACACCTCACTTTCCATAAACACGGCCGTAATAAAAAATTATTGCACCCCCGAGATCCGGCTAATGTCCAAGCCGGAGCTTTTGCATGTTGTAAGAGTCTCAAGATCCGGCCACAAACAGCGAATTACTTAAAGCAATAAGTTGCGTGTGGATTGATTAAAAGCTTCCTTTCTCTATTTCCGCAAAAACCGCAATTTTCACTTCGAACAATAACAATATTCCTGCCTCTTCTAAAACTCGCTCTTAACACCGATTTTTGTCGTGCTTCCCAAATATAAATTCGTATTGTTTTCTCGTGTTGATTGTGCTCGTTTCACGATTTGTTCAAGACAAATATTTTTAACACGGGTCAAGGGTAAAAGAATCGCAACAAAAGAGCGAAAAGTGTGAATACATTCGTATTTTTCGGGGGTGCGTTTCATGATTCTTCATCGCGATAAATATTAAATCCGACGAGGGCGGAACGAAAGTGAATTTTAGCGGTGCGCAAAATTTAGATTTTTTAATTAACCTGCGAGTAAATGCTGATCAATTGAAGAAGAAATGGATTCGGGAGGATGAGTTTTTGCGCAACAAAGCGAGTAATTAAGTCAGACTGGAATTGGTTTTGGCCTGCATCCAAAATCTGAATTACCCCGAATAAAAAGTGCCACGTGACGGCGTGTTGATTAAAATATACACTAATAAGGGTGGAAAAAGCACTTTTAAGAGATTACCACTAAATTTAAAGTAAATTATTGCGTGGTGAATTTTTTAAAAAGAAAGCTGGAGCTAGCTTTTGATTTATTTCGCTATAAAAGATTGGAAATTAAAATTTAATAAGGATAAGGTTTGCGTTAATCAATTTCTTCACCAAATGAGCAAGAAGTCATCCAAAATAAACACCAACAAAGTTGTTTAAGAAATTTTAATTGGATTGAATGCAGGAAAAAATAAAAGAGATAATATTAGCTCCAATTTTTTATTGCCGCTGTAATGTAATAAAACTCATTTCATACATTTTTTATGTTCTGACAATACATTTGCTTAATAAGTATCTCGCAGTACAATTTAAAACGCATTTATTAATCTTATTTTGTGAAAATTAAGTTTTAATGGTAATAAACTATTATTGATTTGAAAATGATTTTTTTATCGCTTATTATTTTACATTATTTAGTTTAATATAAGATAATGGTTATTTTTAATAGTTATTTATTCGACGAGTTTGAGTGTAAATCGGACGGATTATCTCACCGAGTGGGTTATTAAACCACCAGTGTAACGAGTGGTTTATCACCCACGAGGTGGAATAAAGCGTCCGATTTACACTCAAACGAGTTGAATACAACATTTTATTCTTCGAATTAGACTCAATAAGGCTTAAACTTGCTTTAAATCTGTTAAAAATAATCTGACGTTTCGTATTGAGAAATGCCAAACAGTTGGCARAACTTCCTTACACGGGAGAAAAACCGTAAATTTTGACAATGTCGAAGAATAAATGAATTTTAACAAAAGTTTGCAAAAAGGTGGTATAAGCTTAAAAATCACGTTTAAATTATAAAACGCATATTAGCGTAAGAGATAACCCTGCAAGAATAATATTATTGCATCTGAATGAAAAATCTATGAACTTTCGTTTCATTCCTTTTCTTATTCTTTAATTTTCCTTGGGTCATAATTTATCTATTTATTATCTGGAAGCATTACCAACGATCACACTTACAACGCAATTAAAACCGCAACCCGTCTCTAATTGCCTTATGGGACGTTCGGAACCGGAAACATGTTCCTGGCTTTATCACGAATTTATGTTTGCGCTTTGCAAATGTATCATATGGATGTAAACCCTCCTAAACGATTCTTACAATTCGTCGTTTAATTTTCTACATCGCACCTAATGAATAAAACAGCAGAACGTGTGACCCGGCGCATCCACCATTTGTTACAGTTAATTGGAAACTATGTCTGAAAAAAAAACATTGCCAAGAGACTGAAGCAGAAAAATTTTATTTTAGGTGGTGATTGGCGGTTCGAATTTGGACGTTTCGGTCAAGGTGGACGTCGAGGAAATCAAGGTGAGTACTAACAATACACTTTATTAAATAGATATATACATCATTTTTGTCTTGTACATGTGTAATAACATGAAATAGCTCTCTTAACAATGATACATTAAACCTAAAGCGCGCTAGGTGGCGCTAATCAATCGGGAAGCTTAAACAAGGTCGATAATTTTTATTGGTCTAGAGATTTTTTTTGGTTTTGGGGTGAAACGGCCGACAGAGTTGCATTGTGATTAAGGGTTATTTTTATTATGACATCTAATTTAAAGGGCGATGATTTACTTGCGCGTTTGTGATAATAAATCGTCCCTTTAACACTAACACAGCGAATAGATTTATAACTATTTGGTGTTCGATTGGTTCATTTGAATTATTCTAAAAATTTACAGCTGCTTTAAATTACAGTTAGAATATAAGTTTAATAAGATACGGTTATAGCACTTCTAACTCTAGGCATTTTAGTTTTATTAAACGATTTTCCTTTAGTTTTAGTGTTGGTTTAATATTAGTCTAATTATGATACAATGTTTTTACTAAAAGACTACTTGTCATATAAAACGGTTTTGTACTTTACATTTTTTACAATGCTCTATCTAATAAGCCGTAATAAGTATCTGTTTTTTAATGTATCATAAATTACTGCATATTTTAATTAAATTATTAAATCTATGAATTAGAATTAGCCGGCACGCTTTTTGTTTAATTGACTCAACTTCAAAAGAAGTGAAATGTGTCATTGGGAATTTATCTAAAATGACTTGAAAATATCTTAAACTTTGTCGGTTTTTGCGCTCCGCTCCGGCTTCAGGACGATCCGTCAAGGATCTATTGGCAACTTGGTCGGCCGCCACAGCTCGTTATTTACGACTGGCCGGTTTTTCATTCATGAACTGAACTGCGAGATCAGATAATATTGAAGGCATGCGAGGGAAAAAATCGTCCCTTTAAAATGGAAACGCAAACTTGAACTTTTATTAGACCAGAATGCACTTCGACTTTTATAGGCCAATCGAATTGAACAAATATTTTGATTTGAAATTAATTTCTGAACCAGTATTTAGTCAAGAATTTACCTTTATCAAAAATTTTCACTATGAAACCGTTTAACATTCCGAAATTTCTAATAGTTTTTCAGAATGTAAAATCTAATTTGATTGACCTATTAGCTAAGTTACTTAAGGCGAGGCACTATAACAATAATAATAAGCTCATATAAACACACTCGCGATTAGTCGCGAGTGTCCTTCTTATGTCTTTCCTTCTTAAAAAGGGACCAGTCTTCGTAACACAGTTCTTGCACCGTTTATTTAAGTAACCTAAAGTCTGGATATATACACTGTACACTTGGAATGTTAAGAAGCAAAAAAAAAACTTGTGGCTTGAGAATATTATTGCGTGTAATTTTTCTGTACTGCGTTAGCTAGACAAAGCACTAGGTCGTTTTCAGCAGGGATCGTCCTTCACCCTGCTTGTTCTGGGTTTGCGCTTGAAGATCTCCTCGAGGGGCGTAGCCAGAGGGCCTTTCTTCACGCGGCCCCAGCGACCGCGATTGAACAAGCCCTCCAGGCGATACTTTAGTCAAATGTTCTCATGGCTGCGATACTCCCTCATTTCGTAATTATTATTTCCGTTGGGATTTTTCGTTTGTGTCGGCGGCGACGACAGTAAAGCGGCACTTTCCGGTCGCACAAGTAATGATTCGCGTTCGCTTTCGGCACTCTCGGCACGAATCGCGCCCGGAACCGCGCCGTTCGCGTTGGTCAGCTCCAATTCGGTCCGGAGAATCCGGATCTTTTGGATCATTTCCCGGATTTCGTAACGCAAGATTCCGAGGAAGCACAGCTTAAGGAAGGCGAGCACACAGTAGCCCAAAATCGCGAGAATCGAGGCTGTGGCTTTCAGGTAAGCTAGAAGTCTTTCGTCACAGCCAGACGTGTGAGTCTTGGAGCACTTTGTTGAGTTGACCGGAGGAGGTTCAACGCAACAGCTGGGAGGGATCTCCCATCGGAGACTACTGTTGAACTCGCTGGGGCCACTGACGCCACAACAGGAGTCTTCCTCTTGGAGGCGGTCCCACATCGCGGTCAACTCGCTGCTGCTTCCGTATTCCTGTTGAAACCTAAGAAGGAAACGTCAGCAAAAATAAGGTTAAAAGTACGGACCTGATCCTCAGCGTGGGTTTTAACTCCTGGCAGATTCGTTCGAATTTGAACGCCCAGAAAGCCCCAAGCACGACATCGCCGAAGAGCAAGACAAGTAGAAGTAGCCAATAGGCGTTGAGTAGTTTTTCGGAAAGACGTAAAGCCGCCAAACAGCCCAAAAGCTGTAGGGCTCCTCCTTGTGTCGCGAGTGCTAGATAAGCGTAAAGAAATGAAGGCTGGTATAAGGTCAGAGATGGCACCAATGACCTTCGAAAATCGAAAAGGACGGTTCTGGCGGCGGCCCCACAAAATGCTAAGGCTCCGGCCAGAAGTGCAGTGTTGCAAGTGTAGATCCAGAGGCGGTAGTAGCGCATGGCCCTGCCGCCAAGTCCAGAGGCGCCCGTTGCCACACCACCACCCACACGTCGCAGCGGCATTCGCCTACGAAGCCCCCCCTCAGTTGCACCGACACCCATCGCCCCCCATGCACCTGTAAGAAGAATACAACCTAATGGATGTCACAAGGGCACAATTATTGAATCAAAATTAATTGCTTCCTAGTTTATTTTCTGTCACGCAAATTTGATTCGTATGTATAAATCAGAACAAGGTAATTTAATTATTGCACTATTGAGTTTGCAGGATTTTTCCAGGATGCCTCATAATTTGCGAGGAAAATTATTCTTTCTTTTAATTGTTGGATTTTGTGGTTAATATTAACTAAACAGCATTGCAGGAAAAGCATTAGGATTCTGACTTTAGGATAATTGTTTTAACATTACGTGAAATGTACAATTGTATAAATACTAACGAATGTTGTTTTAAAATATTTATTTTTTGGGTGCTTTGCTACTTTAAATATTAATGCCTTTTTTAACTGTATCTCTTAATTTCGACTAAGAAACGAATGAATTAGCTTTTATGTTAATTCTGTTCCAACATGACGATTTGGACCAAATTAAATATTTTAATTTTATAATGTCACAAAATGTTGCCACAAAATGATTGATTTTGATAAAATTCCAAAACAAAATTTTTATTACAATTTCAATAGAGTGTAACAAAATTTTTTTACAAGAATGTTTTTAAGTTTGGTGATTTTTATAAAACATGAACCAAACACAAGTCATAAAAAAAGTACCAAGGAACATGTATTTCAAATCGAAAACGAATATATTTTAGCCTTGGCTCGGTTAGATCCCAAATTAGTCATTAACAACTCATTTGTTTAAAAGCCCCAATTAATAAAAAATATATCACCCCACGCACTCATCGGACCCCTCCACTCCATACACGCTATCATCAAAGAAAAATTTCCCCTATCGCAGCATACTCAACCATCATGTAAATAGAACGCTGAATCGGTAAAAAACGTTTTAAGTACCCAACACAAGTTTCGTTTCGATTTCCATTTTTTCCACGCCGGTCACTATCATTAAAGTAAATCCCATTTGTCTCGTGTCCTTTTTTCTTCTTTTGTGGAGGGCGAAAGACCATTCCAGGATCAATAGCCATCCAATCCACCTTTCGCAATTAAAGACCACAAGATTTCCGGCCTTCTGCGGTCACATGTCGGAGACTTGGGGGCCGGTCCAGGCGCATGTAAATGACGACAGAGTCAGAAGTCAGTATCGATTATTCGCCAGAAACTACATATTCGCTCACTTGTACCGTTCTAACCTTTCCCGTATCATAAGGAAAAAAAGAAGTTGAGAAGCGAAACATCAATCAATTGGTTTAGCCGGACTATCACACGTTGTTTCAGGATTTTGTTCAAGTCGTGAGATACGAGTATTTATAGGACTCGGTCTATCTCAGTTATCGTGTTTATGATGGTGAAATACGTGATGAAAAATATTAGGGTCTTTGCAAATTAGGAACATTAAGTGAATTTACGGGGAACGAAGACCGTTATCTGATGAGTTAATTAATATTATCATTACTGGATAAATCTAATTAACGTCCAAGGCTACGTGCTTTTTTCCCCGACGTCGTTCAACGCGGCTCATGAAAAAATTAAGTCCGGAGACATTAAGATGGATGATTCAGACATTGAAATATGAACATACACCGGGATTAATTTTGCCTTATTCACCGGATTTCTCCAGGTATCGGAGAGAAAAACCTTAACATTTAGTCACGCTCGGTCGACAGCAGGTTGATGAAAAAGGACGAAATCGTTTGCTCTGTTTGTACTTTGAAGGGTCCCCTTCGAATATTCCCGTAATCCTTGTCGATCCTTTAATAGGAGTCGGCTAGAAAAAAAGCGATTGCCATTTCCTAGGTCGAAGTTTATTGTTTCGGGATCTTAGGGGGTTGTTCTTGCTTCGCTTCGTTACCTCGCACTGATTGTTTCGATTTACATATTATTCATTGGAAATACGAGCTTCTTTGCAAACTTGTTTCGAAGACGCAATGTATGACTCTTCCGAAATTAGCATTTGTGGTGTGTTTGAGGTTTTTCGGACGAATAAAGTCGTAAAAAGTCCTCATTATTGCCTCTCCACTGCATAAAACTCGAAACAAGATTATATGAAGAAAAAACCGCAAAGCCCTTTTGTTTTTAATAATTCGTCGTGAAAATCGACAAAAGTTTGTGTTTCTCTCCGGGCCCAAAGTAATTGATAAAATTAAATACGGACGGATCAAAAGAACGACGAAAACAGAAACAACTGTGAAAAACATGACGTTGTAAAAAGTTTCCATGTCGGTAAAAGGAAGTTCTTTTATGGCCCCGAACTCCACTAGCAACACACAACATGTCATGTAAATACAAGCTCGTAAAACTTTCCGGACTGCTGGAATTTGCATAAAAAATGGAGCAGCAAGGCGAATATTAATTTCATTTTAAAAAATTTTGAATTTTTGGGTGATTCTTCTTTGTTTTATGACTAGGTGACTAACTAAAATCATCAATGTTACTTCGGTTTATATACAGGAATGGAATGTGTAAAGTTGATAGGGGCAGTGTGGGGTGTCATCTAACGTCTCTGTTGACTCACTTTCAGTTTAATTACTCTAGAATTATGTAAATTGCACTTTAAGGTAAGCTTTTAATTACAATATTTTACATTGTTGGGTTTACATACACAATTACCTGAAATTACAGCTCTAATGTCTGCGTGTGTTTTGAAGGGGGGTTTATTTAATTTTTATTTGAAAATTTGAAAGTAAATACATTGAAGTCGTTAAAATTTCAAACAGGTCACTATGTATACATACTCTCGGGAAAAGTTTTTCTTTCTCTTCAATCAAAATGAAATCGTGTCGAAATGATATTTTCTGTCTAAATTAGGTCGACTTAATTATTAAACATAACGTCAAGTCGTGCGAGTTAACCTTTAGTTTCATTCTTTTATTTGCTATCATTTTCTCTTCTCTAGGGTATAAGTTGGATGTCTTGAGCTCCACTTTTGTCGAACTTTGTCGAAAGTTTTAACGTTGTTTCCTCCTTAAAATCCTCATCTCAGTGAAAATCGACCTGATCTGACTTTTTCAACCATAATTTCGGACAGTAACTGTCCATTGTTAGAAGTAAAAAAACACACAAAACAAAATTCTTTTGATGAATTCGAGCACGTATTTTCATTAGGTAATTAAAAATTAACGTGGAAGCGAGGTTTTTTGATTTGAAAGAGCTTGCTCTGATTAAAACTAAAAATTGAATGCAAATATGAAATGTCGTGCCTCGGCGAGCTTTGTAATTTGTGGTGTGCGGTGGCTGTTTGCCAGGTTTTGTATTTGCTGTAGCATTTTAACGGAGGTGTAATCGAGATAATTGAAGATTGTGTGGAAGTTGAAAAATAGGAGAAAGGCTATGGAAAATCCAATATTGAGAATGTTTTATAAAGGATTTTTTGTTTTTTTTCATTACCCGATGCCACCAAGAGCGGAGAGACGTAAAGAAGCAGTTGCGTTAAACTGCATTGTTTAAAATTTAATCGGAAATGTACAAAAGCGCTGTACTGATCGAAAAAGAGGCGAAACAGTGATAAACAGCGTTTAATTTTGTATTGCGTATTTTTTGCATTATAGGGCGCCGGTTGTGCGGAACGAGAGTTAATAAAGCATGCGAGTTATTAAACACCCCGTTATTAACTCGACACGCCCCATATTTCAAGTAAATTAAATTGATCGGAAGTATTTAAATTTCCCGCTTTCTACTGTTATTCAAATTAGGCAAAAACCCCTCAGGCTTTGACGTCGTTCCTGTGGGAGGAATTCGTTTTTGACGTTTGTCCCGCTTTGTTTTTTTCTTGTTTTGGTCCATAACAAAAGCTTTCGCAGCGCTTTGATTTTAAATTAAATTGACAGTGTAGTACTCGTAATTGAATTAACCGTAAAGAAAATAGCATAGTCGTCGGTAACAAGGGGTAATCGCGACGTTCCAGGTGAGGGTGTAATCGAATTAGGACTCAAAGAATAACTTTGGAGATTCGTAGCGGTGGTTTAGCACTTTCCATCTGACCCCTTGAAATTAGTTAGGAATGTGTGTGGTAATGACAATTGACCATGTCAAGTCCCCACTTTAATCCGATTTCGAGGATCGAGAATGGAGACATTGACGGAATTATTTCGACCCTTGGAATCCGAAAGGAAAGTTCTTTAATTCGTAAATGTTGAGTGTAAAATGGGAGAAGGCGCTTTTTGGTATCGATTTTTCCGCGAGGGGTGTATTTTATGTTTAGCGCGTGAATTATGGCCGTACGTCACATTTACTTATTATGTGGATGATATAACAAAGTTTCTGGTCCTAACAGAAACTATTCCGACCGAGAGCGACCTCATAATAAATTTATAAGAGAACTTCTCTATTTGAAACCTCCAAGAATTTAACGCTTCATGAAGATTTTTAACTCATTTTTGGCCCTTTTCTTTCGATACGTGATTTTCTTCTTTGTAACTAGATCCAGGTCACCAAGCATTGTTCTTTTGTTTGGATCTTTTATTTATTTTTCACTCGCCTCGGCGAAGTCATAATGGCACAAATAACCTTATAGATTGCAATAAGGCGACATTATCAAATTTGACATTCAGATTTTATAATCTTCGTAAATATTTAACGGAGCTGAGTCCGCTGTCTAATAATAATGTGCTTCGGGATAAGTTTTATGGGGCGAATACCCTTTTCCATGCTTTATTACCAACTTAATTAAATGAAAGCCTTTTTATGGATAGCGTGACCGTCTGGGAGATCTGCATGTGTTGAGACTAGCCTTAAAAATGTGTTTCGTGTTTTTGAAACTGACCAAGACACGACGTAACATCGTGATTATCCTGTAGGTGTAGCTGACGTGGTGTAGTTATGAGATGTAACTTTTATCGTAAATGGCGGCTTATCAAGTTACACAAAGCGTGAAAACTTTTTGTGTTTAATGGAATTGACGTTTGTGAAAGACACGATATTATCTATGTGAGGACTGACTAACAATACTGACAGTAGAGTAATCGATAATAACCGGCTGAGTAATTAACTGAAGGAAGTGTTTCAATTTTGTGTACACTCACATGTGTGCCTTTTGTTCGGTCACGTGACGCAAAACTTTTAAAATTCCGAGCATGTTCTTCCGGTCTGGTTCTATTTCGCGTGACTTGCCGTTTTAGTGAATATATTATGTCAGTTTTAATACAACATTGTTTGTACTTTTAGATATATGAAGACGATATTACATTGTTGAAAAGTCGAATCATTTTTTGACGCTTTGAAAAGGAGAAAAAAGGGAGTTTTAGAGGAGGGAAGTTTTTTCCAGCCAAGACGAGACAATTACGGATTTATCGATTCGTTTCGCACTTCTGGACTACTCTGGACAGTATTAATATTTATTGTAAAGTACTCGATGAAAATTTAAAAATATTTTTATAAGTTGTGAGGGTCAATACATAAAGGAAAAGTCACCTTTAAGGAAACGTCTTGGACGTGATCCAAAACGCTCTATTACTTGTGTTCTTTAGTGTGACGTATGGCGTATACTCGTTTTCATATTAATGTGCATCGAAGTAGTCATTTTAAGGTGGCAACCATGCAAAAATTCAAACAATCCCAACCTCAATCTTCCCTAAAAATTATTTTTTCAAATAAATATGTACCCCATGTAGCAAAAAATTGTTAAAATTAACAACGTAATCAACATAGGATAGTAAACATAAACATTTTTGTCATTATTGATGTGATTTAATTTTTTCACACTTTTTGTGTGAATCGGCCTTTAAATTAAAGATACATTTAAACTTCTACAACCTACTTGATTCACATTAATATGAAAAAGAATATATGAATGCGTCATCTCGACAAAAAATTACGTGATTTGGTTCCTTTTTATGATTCTATTTTCCACACTTATCGTTGAAGTTTAAAAATCTATTACGCATTTTCTTTATTTAGATACTATTTTTCCAAGACAATAAATTTGATTAGTTTTTTTAACGGTACCTACGGTCAAAAGCACGGAAGTTGGCGTTATAGACGCTGACACCAGTTTTGACGTGTGTATACCGTGATTTCACGTCATTAAAAGTAAATTTTAGTACAAAATCTGCTTACAATCCATTCAGTTGCAGCGTTATTTAATTTTCAGAACTGATATCACATTACATCTCGCCTCCGAAGGACAAGAGCATCTCACTCGACGCGAACCAGTCATTTGTTATCCTCTGCTTTGTCATTTTAAGGAAGTCTCTAAATCCGTAGATTATTGAAATTCGGGTCTATTATGTGGATTTCGGGTAGTTGTTTACATCGTCCGATTGAAATTGGCTTGGAATTTTTAATATTGGTTTACGGGAGACAATATATCTGTTCATTGCAAGGCGTTTTTCTGTATTTTTCTTTTAGTTTTTTGTTTGAATGAGTATTTAATTTGACCCTGGATTATTTTGTAGGTAGTGATCAAGTCAAACCCTATACGCGTCTTCGTAATAAAATCCATTATTAAATTTTAGGATTCTGCGATAAAATTGGAGTGAAATTGCTCAGTGCATGTGTTTTTCCGTCCGGAAAATTGTATTTTGCAACTTCATTCCTTGTGCGAATAAAAAATGAGTCTGTGAGCCGTCTTCCGTTATTAACTCGAGACGGGTCAAATTGCAAATTAATGTCGAGTAAGAGAGAGTACGGACGTGATCCCGATCGATAATTTAATAATGAAACCATTCAGATCTATCATCCTTTAACAAATAATTACATTTCGGTTTTTCGACGGATCATCGACATGATTAAGGGTTGGAGAGGGATGATTGATGAAAGGATGTTAGTGTTGGAAGAGGACGGACGATCTAGACGGTAAATCTGGAATTTCGAATTGTTTTTTCGTGTGGGTGATTGTATCGGTAAGTTGTCACTTGTCGAGTAATTCTCGGATAATATGCATTAATTAGAGAGGACGTGTAATTGCAGGGTGTTGACAGTCACGCCTTACTCATTCAATCTGAACCGTGATTGTGGCTGTAAATAGGTTCTTATATACCCCATTACAGTTAGTGCTTTAATTAATTTTACGTTTATTCTAATATCGATGGTGGCGTCGCGACGCGCAATTCAATTACCATCAATTGTTGTTAATCTACTGTATATCCTTGTGTGTAATTACCTTCTTTTTCTAATGGTTAAATTGCCTTTGTTTCATATCCGGGATTGCAGTTCGTTCTTCTCCTTTGGGTGGACAGTTCTCGAGATGTAGCGTCTCTTATTTTGGGTCTGTCTCTGCAAAAACGATAAAATTCAAATCAAGCATCGTTAAAAACTTAATTAAACAGAGTGCCAAAATTTTATAAAGATTATTCTCACAACGTTTCCCTTCATGATGTAATTAAGATTTGTATTAATATTTAAAGTCTGCGAACCTCACAGTTTCCTAATTTTCTCGGTTCAATTAGCTTATATTATTTGAATGAAATATGTCGGCGTTCGTAATCAGAACACGAATCGCTTGAATTTAATTCAAGTAAATTTCAACTTTGATCAATCGATTCTAAAATATGTCTCGAAGGTTCTTAGTTCAATTACAACTTGGAATTGGCAACTGATAGAAACTGGAAAAATTAACCAGTTGGRTGCGGGTTGTGTTGTTGKAGCAGCGATGAGTCGAACAATTCGACTATACTCGAATATGATGAAACAAAGAAAAGGAGRAATTTGAAACGACCGATCCTCGGTCAGCATTCAACAAGTCTGGGGATGACCAGCGCACCCTCATCTCACTAATTACGACAAATATTGTCCATGAAAGACGGGACAAAACGATATTGTGTGGTGGTTGAAATTCCTCCACATCGAGGAGCTAAAAACGCGATGTGAAGGCGTCTCTCATTAACTAAGCAAGCGTCATGTTTACGTGTGTCGAGTATTTTCGACGGATGTTTAAGAGGAGAGATTTAAGGAAGGAAAAAAATAGAAGTGCTCTTGCGACGTCACGTTTACAGTCGGAGGAATTTTTAATTTAAGGGTTTCGTTCCTTTTTTTCCACATTCCGAGTGTGTGAAATACGGGATAATAACGGCTAATTTCCGTTTCTTAAAAGGCCTCGACTATTTACATAATAGGATTGGGTATTATGAATTTAAGAAATGGCCAAGTTGTTAATTTATAGTTTTTTGAGGGAAATACTGGGCGTAAATGTATTCCAAGAGGCGTCTTGTGGAATTTGGCACGCGGTGCAATTTTGTCGGTTCATTACCGCTTTTATTATTTATAGGTTTGGGGTTTTCTAAGCCGTTGTGTCGTTGACTTTGCTGGTATTACTTGAGTTGTTAATATTTAACTTTCTGGGACTACCACTCGTATTGTTAGTTGCATACTTTTTGTCACAATGTCGGAATTGAATTTCCGCCGCGCTTCGAGCTTAGCATCCAATTAACAAGACTGGAGCTTTTATCGGGTCTCATTTTCGCACCATTACACATTAATAGTGAGAGATCCTTTGTAACCTTTGACGCCCTTAATTAATCTACTAATTCTACGTAATGCAGTGTCGGTAGCAAACGGCACAACATTTACATTTTTCTACTTTTAAAAGCGAAGATCTCTCGATTTGAGGCTAATTCGTTGCGAGGACAGTCCATTTACATCTTTCACAGTCGGTAAGGAAATCATCTAGATATTTGCATAAGCTGTAACCAGAGTAAAAAGGAAAAATTCATACGGTTTGGGTAATTCAGTGTGACCTTAAAAKAGACGTTCGCGTKTAAGGAGCTTTCAACAATCTCCGTGAATTCTGGACCAGATGTTGTGGCGGTTTCGTTTACGCGTCTCAGTGGCGCGGGTTTTGGGACCACATGGGCCGTAATAATAATTGAAGGGTCTAATTTAATTCTCGGGGACGATATGAGATTTGATAATTTGATCGGCTCTTAAAAGGAAAAGAATCGACGAATTGGTCGAGAAAGTTATGTTAAAAGAGAGATTATCTGAACATTTGTTTGCCGATCTATAAAATTCCGTTCTAACGAGCCAAAAGGGATTTTTCGTATAGCCACGAAATGGGTGCGAATCCAATTTATTTCGACCGAAACACGGTTCAGGGTGTGGCTTGTTGATGTCCAAGAAATAAGAAACGAAACTCGAGAGATACGAACAACTTCCCACTCGATCAAAATTATTATAAATTAAACGAATTTATACTGCGATGTGAATACTGAAAATTATTATTATTATCTGCCCAGAATAGATGCCAAAAGTCACGAACCGCACAAATTCGACTCTATTACAAGGAAATTTGTTTGATTTTTGAGTCGAACGGAAGGCTTATCTCTCAGTTGTAAGAGTTCACGAATCGATAAGGTCGGAGCTTGCATAGTTTAAAGCAACGATAAAACTCATTTTGGGACTATCGATGTACTTTTTCTCTGTATGACACAGTCGGGCGTTTGAAGGTTTTTAATTGGGTTCTTGGAAATATCGAAGTCTATAAATTTTGGCTTTTCTCTTGAGACAATTGCCGAAGAGTTGCTTCTTCTCGTCTAGGAACGACGAGGAAAGTTTTTTAATTAAGAGTCTGTCGGTGAGCACACAGGTAACCTATAAAATACTGGATAAGCACTCGAAAAGTTGGCATTAAAGAGCTAACTCGGCCATAATACGTGATGTATGAGGAAAGAAAAAACGGTGTCTGGGCATATTGTTTATTGGTGAGAGGGATTTATGAGTTTCTGATGACGAGATTTGCATTGGCGTTTTAAGACTTGAGGTGGGGTTGTTTTTCGATGATAACGATTCGAGTGATGGGTTCTGTGTGGGAGCACAAACGGCAGAAAGTTTGCCAGAGGGCTTATATACGAAGTGGCTTATTGCCATAATAATATTTTTGTAATGCAGGKGCTGTTTATACATAGTTAAGAAATCTAATTTTTCTCAAGAAGCTTTGAAGGATGGCCTTCACTAGTGATATGTAGCATAAAGGCAGACGTCCAATTAACTGATTTAATTTGATATATTATCGACAATACAGATTTGTGTTATTATTAATTATTGATTATTAATATTTGTAATTAAGCTTGAAATCATAATATATTGTGCGGTCCAAATATGCCCCTGTGTCTATTTTCGGGCACACGTTATGCATTAATTATTTCGCATTATGAGAGAAGGTTTTATAATGGTCTTTTGTGAGACGACCGAGAATTTACATGACAATTATTTTACCTCTGATAATTTTAAAAACTCATGATAACTGTTGTTTCTATTTTTGCCTGGAGAATATTTCTATAAACAGCCTCAAGGACACATTTCTGTGTTTATAATCTGATTGCACGTAACAATTTAATTAAAATTTTCCTATAACCGCTTTTAGCTTTGATACAAGAGGAATTTTATCGTGCTAAGTTAATAAATAATTTTTTTATGTGTGTCACTGTCCTTGCACATTATGTTTATTTTCTCAAAGAGTTTCAATCGGGAGAAAGAGCTTGCAATTTGTTGTAATGGTTGCATCAGAAACTTTGAAGCTTTACCGATTGTAGAAAGATATCTTGAAGACTTGTGAATCTTGAATGATATCTAAAAGAATGAATCAATTCGAGTAGTGATTGCGGCATCAACGATTTCAAATCAAATTGTGTATTTATTTAATTTAATATAAATTCAAATAATTCTCACGACTTATTGTTTTATTTACAGCTGACTACTATAATTACCAAATCGATTATAATTCAGAACGCCTACTTGTTCCGGTAATCAAAATGATTCGATATTTAACCCATTTTGCCGAATCGATACACAATTGTCCAACAACTGGGACTGTTGTTTCCTGTTGGAAAATTGATTGTTTTTAAGTGCCATTGCTTATTTTGTTTTTGATTTAAATGAAACAATCAGGTTCCAATTGAAATAAAATGTTTTTAAGTTGACATTGCTTAGAATGAATTGATTTAAATAAAACAAAGTTTTTGATTTTTTATCGATTTACAGTTTAAATAAACTGATTGAAATTTGAGATGCGTGCAGGTCGCGATTACTTGCTTTAGAGTGGTTTTTATATAATGAGGTAGTTGAATAATGGTTATTGGTTATTTTCGATACAAATAATAGAGATTTATGGCGTTTATCGAGGAAGTAGGACGAACTTTTCTCAAACAGTGGTAAAAGCGAAGGTTTACATCTTATTCTCTACTACGATTTATTTTATTTTTTACTAATATTTTTTTTCTTCTATTATACACATACACGATTATTGCAGTATACTCGTATTTATGCTTTCTACATTACAATTCTTGTCTGCATTGTTATTATTATGCTTTATTCTTACTGTTTTTTTTTTTTTATAAGCGAAGAGCTTTCATATAGTTCGTATTTTGTAACGAACAAAAATAGGTATATTTGTACATCACTACATCAGTTTTAATTGGATAAATAAGGGGGGAAAAAGTAGACAAGATCAGTAACAATTTTTTTTATTTTTTTTCCTACTTGTCCTTGTTTTTTGTAGAATAAAACACATTATTTTTGCTACTCTAACTACATTTTATTATCCATAAATTTACAACCATATAGAGTTGGACAGTCTCTCTCATTCATTTCTGGGATTGTTCAACCAAGAAGGACTTTTCCTGGTGCGGCAATTCCCACACTTCCCACAGGAGCAACGGCTAGTGCAGGAGAACTAACCAAAGCAGGTCCTGCGATAATTCCTGTGCCACAACAACCAATAACACCAGCTTCCACCGTAGCCCAGGTGGCCAAAACCACCACCAGGACAAAGACTACGAATTTCATCATCTTGGACTTGTCTGCAGAACGTTTCGAACGTTTTGATTTCTTTTTCACGGTTATCCCGAGTATTTATTTATAACGAAGAAATGGTGTAACAATTGTAAGACTTGCGCTAGAATGTCTTTTTTTTCTCTACATTTCCGATAAGTTATCTTGCTGTGCGAATTTCTACTTTAATGAAACAATTTCTGGAGACAATAATCCGCTTATATGCCGACACGATTCCGGCTCAATTAGGCTTTTGAATAAATTTCTCAAGCCACCGAAGCGAAATAATAATTGAATAAATAATAAAAGGTTAATTGTCGTTTTTTTCGTCGGTGTTAACAAATAAGAGCGCTTCTTAGGGATTGTTTGAGCGAGTTTGTTAAATTGGAAGGAAAACAGTCGGAGTCACTTTTTTTTACAAGTAAGCGGTTCTATTAGGAAGGAAATTAATTTTGAGGGATGCGTTTTATGACCGGAGTGAAACTGTTGAGTGGAAATAGTCCGTTCAAGCCTTAAAAGTAAAATATAAGAACAGGCTGTGAAAATTTGCATGTGTGTTATTTTTCGAAATATGACAATGAACATTTTTATCTGTCAAAAAGCTTTTTATCGTAATTTCTTAAGAGCTAGGCTAAAAGCCTGTTTTAAACGACAAAAACTTGTTATTTTCTGCTTTATCGTCGTTTTTTTGTATGGCGTGGGCGAGAGATCCGTCACAGACTTTGTCTTTGACAGTTGTGGAAAATTATCCACTCGGTGGAATTAAAATCGACAACTTTTGAATAAACTAAGCGAGGAGTGAAGACGTAAAGTTAACTTACAAAAGTTTTTATTGTTTGTTCGTAGATAAAGTATGTCCATTGTGAGACGATAATGTTAAAAATGTTGAGACAATGGCGGATACGGAGCGAAGAAAAAGGGTTTTTCAGGGAGTTTTCAGGACATGTTCCGAATGAAATTTGCGGCGTGAGATAGGATAGTGTTATAAATGTAGAAGGGTCGCGAAATGCCCATAAAATAAAAATTGTTAAGTGGAAAAGTTTTAAATTGGATAAATTTTGAATTTATGGCGAGATATCAAAGATAATGAAAAGTACGAAACTCAAAAAAAAATTGAATTTATTGATACTACGTCTCGTAAAGTCCAAAGGTAAGACATATTTTACAACATAAGGCGAGACGCAGAATTTATTTTCTCTTTACGAGTTCAAATTAATTTATGTTTGGGGCGACACGAAGTCTAATTCTTGAACTTCAAGCCAAGTCGTTCATATTTTCCTATAGTTGCAACAATTATGTCTTTGAGAGTTTTCTATTTTCTGTCTATATTGCTTTCAGGTCATTGCTAAATTAACGTAAACATAAATCCGGTGTAAACATTGACATAAATATGCATGAGGTAAGTACCTAAGTGAGACTCGGAATCTGTCCCTAGAAACTCACTCTTAGGAAAAAAATCGTGGGTGTCAGTCAGTCGAAATTTTTGTCTCTCCTGAATTAAATTCCAAGAGCAATACATGAGTTTATTATTTGATTAAGAAACTAGTTACTGTCACGCTCTTTAATTTAATGTCTCTTTCCTTTCCTTGTATCTAATTCGATAAAGTCCTATTTTTCCGTCTCGGTTTATTTCGAAGTGAAAATGACATCTGTTCTGCGTAGATCGAAATATGACAAGCACAGTTATACAAATCCGGAGTTATTTTAATTGAAAAATTGCAATCGATTTGGTAGAACGTGGAGATTCCATTTAACCGAACTCTGAATAAAGTTGATTTCAAGAGATTGCAGGAATTTAATAATAAATTCGGCAAACTGTCAATGGGTTCAATTCGTTTATTAGGTATCTACCATTTTAGATAAAACGTATAGTAAATCAAAAGACAAAATTCTGCTGCAAAACTAACTATATATTGTTTCTTGAAATTACAGTGCAAAATATAAATACATACACAGTAAAAACATGTTATGATATTTAATTTTGGATGGTCTTCAAGAATTCGATGGATGATGGTTATTTTCCAGTAGGGCCTACCAAACATTATGCCCCCATCCGCCGGCCCATCCGCCATGGCCCCATCCACCATGTCCTCCCCAAGCGCCATGGCCCCATGCAGGAGCGACAACGGCAGCGTGTCCGACGACAGCAGGAGCAGCGATCACGCTAGCGTGAACAGCCGCCATGGCGACGATAAGAACGAAGGCGAAGATAAAGTATTTCATCTTGAACTGTTTTAAGACGCTGTTGGCAACGTTTGATAACGGAGAGATGAATGCTCTTATTTATAGTGGAGTAATCAGCGATTACTTTCATTAACCGGAAGAATTTGCATATTTCTTTGTGTTAGATAGCCGACAGGTGACATTCATAGGGTTTTTTTCGCATTATGCAATCATGGGTGCGCGTAACTTTGTTTAGGTTGCACTTGTATGGTGTGTCAAGTGCATACACGCCTTTAGAATTGTGCATGTTGGAATAAATTAAATTCAAAAACACAGTGTGTAGAAAAAATGATGCTCACCTTTAGATTAAAGCTGAAACATCTTGGTCCAAAATACGAACTAATTTTCTGAAACAATAAATTTATCATTAGTGAGGTCATTTAGAAAAGAAATAATTAAAATTAATGAAAATACATATTCATGATTCTTTCGATAACCAGGTCACGTGCAAGAACATAAATATACAACAATAAATAAAGAAAAGTAAAATTTAAAAAAATGAGAAAAATGCGAATTGAAAAAATCTTCCATTCAGTTGATGTATCTGCGGAAATCATTATAAGCTCGGATTTGGAATAAGCTTTTAAATCTCTAATAATCGAAGTTTCGGTAATTGAAGCAATGAAATTTCAAGCATTAATATTTTACAAAATTCAATCAAAATTTATGTTTTTCCGTATTAATTTAATACCTACAACAATTCTGATAATATCAAGGATTTATCTTGCACGAAAATGGAGAGTTATCGCTTAAATATGATTGATTTTCAATAAACCGTGACATGACAAGACCTTGTCGAAATTTCGTTTCCTCCATTAACATAACTCGTTACCAACCTAATAATTAACCCCAAACTGTGTTGGCGTTGTATAAATGACAACATCACAAACACGTGCATCAGCTGCTCGAGGCGTATATACAATATATTGTTATGTTGATAACAATATTTGGACAGCAGCCTGAGTTAAAAAATATGAGTTACGTCACGATATTGCTTGCATTCGTTGTGGCTCACTGTGTAAAAAAAAACACGATTAACTGCAAAATTAATTTTTATTAATAACAAGGGGTGCTTTACAAAGTGTGCTTAAAAAATCCTTCTGGTAGAGATTTACTACTCTCCGCGTCCCCATTTGTGCCCCCATTCTTCTTCACGACCTCTGCCTTCTTCTTCTTCACCACCGCGGCCCCAATGTTCTTCACCTCCGCGTCCTTCTTCTTCGCCGCTACGGCCTTCTTCTTCACCACCATGGTGATGGCGTTGTTCTTCTTCGCGGTGATGACGGCGTTCTTCTTCTTCGTGGTGGTGACGGCGTTCTTCTTCTTCGCGGTGATGGCGACGTTCTTCTTCTTCACGGTGGTGACGGCGTTCTTCTTCTTCGCGGTGATGACGGCGTTCTTCTTCTTCGCGGTGATGATGGCGTTCTTCTTCTTCCCGGCCTCGGTGATGATGGCGTTCTTCTTCTTCACCTCCACGACCTCTTTCTTCGCCGCCGCCCCCCCAGTGGTGTTTCTCTTCTTCTCGGCGCCGTTCTTCACGCCGACGTTCTTCGTGATGAGGACCTGCTTGGACAGCCACTAGGGCAAAGATAACAACAAGAGCGAAAAGAGTGAATTTCATTTTGTATTGTTGTTACAAGACGTTAATAACGTTTTGATGTCGAGTCTGGGTGTCTGGAGGGTATTTATATATCGTTAATTAAGGGGGTTTATGCAAAAAAATTATTTCGTCAAGGGTCTATGGTAATCGGATTAATTAAGGAATGATTTCAGTCTTACCAATCACCATAAGGTTACGGATTTGATTTTTATTTTAGGGTTGATTAATTGAGAAATCTGGAACAAGATCATATTTAATTGTAAAGTATTTATTAGCATGTTGTGCTCTAGATATCAGATTTTGGTTATTCTTGTTTAATGAAAGTTGGGGAAATTGGTACGATTAACACTTAATTCAGGTTTAAAGTAAGTGTTTAATTGTTGGAAAAGTAAGGATTATAAGTAGATATGCAAAAGTTGGGATTAGCTAAATTTAGAAAGTCATTTTCAACACTATTACGTTTTGGACGGGTTTCAGGAAAAGCAATTTCAAATGGAATTGTAAAACTGAATTTTGGCTTCATATCTACGCTAATAGAAACTGTCAAGAGGACGTTGCAAAAGGTGCATCACGAACCGGTCATGATATTTCTAGACACGTTTTGTATTTCATCGAATTTGTTGTGTGCATTCCGGGAGTTCTTTTAAGCTCTATTTCAGTTTTTCTGAACGATTTTACTACTGGTAAAATACACAGTTTATTCGCTGATTCATCCACATAAAAATTTCTATCAAGAGCTTCTAGATTAAACAAAATTAGGTTTAATTTTTTCAGATTAATTTTTCCTAAAAAATGATACAAGGCTATTTTAATTAATCATAATGCCTTGCAATGTTAATGAGCAGAAATGCGGCCAATTTAATTTTAAATGATTGATTCATACAAGGAGATAACAATCATTTACGGAATTTTTCAGAAATTATTGAAAAATTTTATTAGAACACTCAATAAATTTAATTCTAACACTGAAAAAATGGTAACCAGCCTTGCTGCCATTTCCTGCTGTAGGCTAACCAGTTTTCCCTTTAAAGAAAAAATCGCTTACACACATTTTCCTGTTTTTATTTAACAATAGCATAATAGAACTGCAGCAATTCTTCTATACAATTGCATCATTATAACATTTTTAATTTTTTCAACCTAGATTCATATAAAAAGCCGTCTTGCTCAAGCAACACTCAAAGAAAAATAAACAGTTCAAGATGTTTAAGTACTTCCTTATCGCTTTCCTGGCCATCTTCGCCGTAGCATCGGCTTATCCCAGTGGCATTATCGGCCATGGAGTCATCGCCGCCCCTGCTGCCGTTATCGCTACCCCCGCCGTGGCTGTTGGTGTTGGCCATCATGGGCTTATTGGAACTCATGGAACCCTCTGGGGTTGAAAAATTACAATAGTTGCACTTTGTGAAGTTCATCCATCATTTTCTGTAGATTTTTGTACACTTAATAGACATTGAGGCATGCATTTTTTGTGTCGTTTATTTACCCGGGTGTCTAGTCTAGCCTTTGTTAAGCCACAGTTTTAATGAAAATTACTTCGTCGAGAGGGCGATAAGTGGTTGGGTTAATTGTGGGTCGCCACCCCCGTTTCATTTTCTTAGGGATTTAATTTACTCCCACACTTGCACGAGCTATAAATTTTTTGGGATCAACAGGAGAAATGTCGGAGACTATTCGAGAAATTATCGAATTATTTGAACCTGTTCCAAAGCCCGGAATTATTTTTCCGGGCGTTATTCCATCTGGTTAACATCACCGTCTTACGGCGGTAATAATACTGGAATCGTTACCGTTTGTTCGAATTCGGTTTAATGAGACACTCGTCGGTACTTAGAATTTCACAGATTGGCTCAGGGAAAAGAACAGAAGACATTTAACCCAAATTCATGTGCGATATCATCGTCATACACTCGGCTAAATTCGAAATCAATATCCTTTTATACAGCATCATCTGATTGTGAAACGACTATCCTTGATCCCGAATGCAATATTTCAAAGTTTTTTTTTCAACGCAAAATGCGTTACACTGATACGCATTCAATCCGACATCGGTATAGACATTCATCATGGGTTTAATGACAGTTTTTGGCGGCTTGAAACGAATTTTCTACCAAAGGAGATGATGAATCTCCAATTGGCTATTTTTCGGTTGTCTTTTCCTGTTATTGTGAATGGGGAGATAACTCAGAAGAGGATGGGGATGTCGATCCTGTAATAACTTTTTCCACCGGAATGACTTTTTTGAACCAACAGGAACAACAAAAGTGACTTTGTATGTAACTTTTTTTTCTCTATTGTATACAGGTGCGCCAGAACTCGCACCCCACAGAAAAATTTCAAGTAAGATAAGATACCAGGAACAAGGAAAAAATGTTCAAAAAAATCTCTGTCAAAAAATGACATTTATTTTTTGACATTTAACATTTTATTATGTTTATTTAATGATACTGATAATGTTGTATATGTTTTTTTATAATTATTTAGTAAAGGTACAAAAATTTTGCCAAAAAAAGCCTCTAATAACATTAAACAGAGATACAATTCAGGCTACAGCTTCCTTGTTTCCTCTTCTAATAGCTTGTACAATAAATAAATAAAAGTGCAAAATTTAAACTCTCATAACTTCGAAATTTTTATAGGTAGAATTTTTTTAACATTTTTTCTATTTTCCTGGTATCTTACCTTACATTGCATTTTTCTCTGGGGCGCGAGTTTTGACGCATCCTGTATAGGAGGCGACAAATAATACTCAATGGCGCTCATGTTATTTTTCACTTATTTGAGTATTATTCGAATTTGTTCATGGACCGCCATCTAACTTTATAATAAGGGAAGTATCTCGGGCATAAGCCATGTTTTTCAGCAGAGAAATAATTGAGTAGTGTTGTTCGATGTGTTTTGTGTACTGCTGTTATTACTTCATTTAATATTTCTACATAGGTTTGTAAAGCCATTTTACTTTTTTTCTTAATTAAAAAAATGCAAATACTGCATCTACACTTGTTAATTACAACGTTATTAACCATTTTTTAATAAATATCCGTCTTTGATGTTATGCCAGTGTTTTTAAAAGTTCAACACAATCTGGGCAATTGAGCTCAGCCTGAAATGTGCCTTTTTTGCAACGAATTTGGTAAAAACGAGCTATGGTATAGGTGTTCTTGTGGAAAGTGGATTCACGCTAGCTGTTCAGGGGCTGATCCACATGGATATATTTGTGATTATTGCAAATAAAGTTTAAAATGTTAAATTGTTATCGCAAAATAAAATTATTTTTTAAAACGAAATATAAATTTCTATTGAGTTATTAATTAACATAGTTTAGTTTTTTACGTTTTTGATGTGCATTTTAAAGAAATAGTTAACTTGTATTACCCTACTCAGTTGGGCAATGACGCTCTTTGCGCCTTATTGTAAAATCTTTTTTAATACATGTTTAATTTTTATTTTGACGATTTTTTACATAGTGTTGGTTTCTCTACATTTCAGGCAACCGATTAGTGAAAACAGAACCATAGAATATTATTATTTCTCTCAAAATATCAATTTGAATTTAGGTGAGCGCCAATACCCATCGCTCCCCTACTTATTGTGGCAAAGTTATTTTATCTTAGATACACATTTTTGTAAAATAATAATGAAATTTATACGTCCTAATAGCCCAAAACCGGCGTTGCACAAAAGTTGCATATGTTTATTAGCTTCTTTGGTGTAGTCAATTTTTTCGATTTTCCATTCTTATTTTAATTTTAAATGCAGGCATTACTGAACACTCCTGTCTGGTTTGGGACGTATTATTATCAGGACTTACGAATGTTACAAATGAAAATACGAGAATGAATATACATATTTAAATTTTTATTAAGAATGAATAGAAATAGTGTTAATGGGACTTTTGTTATCGAATAATGATATCTAATTTTTCCATTATTTGTGAATTGTTATACCATTCTTCTACTTCTTTGGTCGTAAAAACCAACATTAAAACTTTCTTACTCGAAATTAATAATAATAGAAATCGGCATGATGGATGAAGTAGAGTATGACGTTCGATCGTGGCCCTCGCTCATGAAATATGCAACCAGCTATCCAAAAAAATACTGATCCTCTCCTCATCACGCGTTTGATTTCGTTATTTAATTCAAATCCTGCCACTCCTTCAAGTCACCTCCTAATGTATTCGTCGCCGTCGTGAATAAATCAAGAGGTTCGCGTGTGTTTGTACTATTCCAGCAGAGAGTGACACGATGGAGGATGGTACCGAAATCCTACAACGATAATTACCGACCGCATTGGCGCAAAAACCGATGAATTTTTAACTGCAAATCGAGGCCAAAGAGGCGTTCACTGATTCCGTTTGCGAGCAGGGGGTTGAAACGGTGCCAGACGGGAAAAATTCATTCATGTTGCTGGGATGTGTGTGACGGAAAGAAAATGGATTGTTTTGAAGGCGAATCGTGTGTAATTTGTCAAACAAGAAAATTTCGAGAGGAATTTTTGTTTATGAGGGATGCGAATTTGCATCTTGATGATGCAAAGCCGCCACCGATCTTCCATAAAATCAACAGAGGATTATTCATAAATATGCAAAATTCAAGTCTCATGTTAATAATGAAGTTTTGTTTCATAAACCCAATGACGGTGTAACAGGAAAGTGATTAATCATCAAATCAGATCATTCTTTGTTTTTCTTTTTCGTCCAAAACTGACTTTGGGAGTTTCAAAGTTCTTTTGTTTTTGTTATTATGCTCGAAAATAAAAGGGCATCCGGTTAATTATTTAGATACTCTCTTAAAAAAAATCAATGCAACTCGACAGAAAATAATTTAAATTAAATGAAAATGTGTTATTGACGCGTAAGTATACAGAGTGTTCCGTATAAACCCCACATTAGAAGTAATGGGAGTTGAAATAATCGTATTTATTTGAAAATTGGTACGTAGCCATAGACTATTAAGTCCTCCTAAATGAAAATATTTTCCAGATGGTGGCACTTCCGGTTATATGGGAAGTCGGTTTTAAATGGAAAGGTATATTTTTTACTGCGTTTTTGGATTCATCGGGTTATTTTAAGAAAGTTTTCATCAGCTTTCCCTATACCTAAATTTATCCGTTTTTGAAATATTTGGAGTTTTTCAAAAATTTTTGGATCTGCACCTTCCAATTTAAAAATCGGTAACTCTGTCATTTTTTAAGATTTTAAATTCGTTTTTTTGGCGTTTGAAAGAGAAAGCTTAGATCCTTTTTCTGGTGTTTTCAAATTTTGAAAAAAAAACATATCCCAAAATTTTAAGGTTACTTTTGGAATAATTCAAATACTCATAACTCATTTTTTTTTAATGAAATACCCCAATTTTTATTTTACTAACTAGAAGATAATTTAGTTGTGCATTGATCTGTATTAACATTCCCTATACCTAAATTCAGTAATTTTCAAGTTATGGACTTTTTTTTAAACTTCAGAAAATTTGTTACTAGCCACTCCCGTTTTCACATAGTTTGCTATGGAAATCAAAAATGTCAAAATTTTCTCTAAACAAACGTTAACAGTAAATTACTACTTGATAAATAGTGCCAAAATATGAAAAATCAAAGTTATGCATACTTAATTATTATTGATAGGTTCTACCATGCGATCATTATTTAAAGCTAACAAGTGAGAAAAATTTATTTTTGTTTAATGAACGACATCATAATTTTGTTACACTCTCCATAAATACAAAATAAATTTATTAAATCTAAGTTTGAGTAGCTTTGACTCTCCATACTTTGGCACTATTTGTCAAATAATAAGTCACTGTCGACGTTTATTGAAAAACAATTTCGACATTTTTGATTTCCATAGCAAACCATACGAAAACGGATGTGGCTAGTTTAATAGATTTTCGGCAGTCTTAACAAAAAGTCACTATAACTTAAAAATTATTAAATTTAGGTATCGGGAATGTTAATACAGATCGATGCAGAATTAAATTCTCTTCCATTTAGTAAAATAAAAATTGGGGTATTTCATTTGGAAAATTTGAGTTATGGGTATTTGAATCATTACAAAAGTAACATTAAAATTTTAGGGTTTGTTAATTTTTTTTTCAATATTTGAAAACACCGGAAGAAAGATTTAAACTTTCTCTTTCAAACTCCAAAAAAACGAATATAAAATTAAAAAAAAACCAGAGTTACCGATTTTTAAATTGGAAGGTGAAGATCCAAAAATTTTTGAAAAACTCCAAATATTTCAAAAACGGCTAAATTTAAGTATAGGAAAAGCTGATGAAAACTGCCTTAAAATAAACCGATTAATCCAAAAACGCAGTAAAAAATATAACTTTTCATTTAAAATAAGAAAGTTGAGACCAACTTCCGGTATAACCGGAAGTGCAGCCATTTTAAAAATATTTTCGTTTAGGAGGACTTAATGGATTATGGCTATGTACCAATTTTCAAACAAATATGATTATTCGAACT